TGACCACCACCGGCTCCCCAACCAACCCCAACTCTGCGACCACCACCTCCACCACCACAGGCGAGTACTGAAAAAGTTTATGTTGTTTTATTTCCATGTCTTTTACCTTCAACTGGTGAGAATGCAGACTCATTCCCTGGGACCTGTTAGCAGTCTTTTAGCATTATATCATATTTAGCCGTCAAGTCCATTTTGAACATGTCACAGGGTGCTTGTTGTGAAATGAGTCCATTTCAAACTTAAAAACAGGAGACAGTGTCTTAAACTCTTAAAAGGTACTTTTATAAGTTTAAAAGTTACGACCTGGCTCAAGTAATAAAACGGTTGGCACTGGGGCACCAGAGACTACGTTAACCCACGGGGGCCAATTATCCAACCTCAGTTGGCACAAAGACCCTCAGCAGCAGCTGGAGGATCGCAGGCTTTCACAGCCTGTAACAGATCCCATCCACCAGAGCCGGCGAAAAGACAGCACAGTATCAAAGTACCCATAAACAGCCTATCTTATTTTTCCAACCGACTTTTTATCCATTCTTCCCCCGTAAGCAGGCACCATAATAATAATAAATACATAATAATTTATGTGTGTTTTACACAAATTAGGGGCCTGTGCACACGTCACGCTGCAGGCTGGAAAAACCCGTGGATCACTCCGACCACTGTCCCTAGAAACTACCGTTTATCACAAATAATTTGAATAATCACAAGAGACTGTGGCAAGTTTTGTAAACAAAACTAAGGCAAGATTTTCTTAGCTACTACGACAACCTTACCCAAATAACAGATTGGGAGAGTTCACTGCTGGACTCCTTCTTGGTTTGGAGTAACATAGTAACAGTCCACCAAGAGCAGCTGGAGAGACTTTTGATGGAATTAGTGTCTGCACACATGTGAACTGTACTAATACTAATAAAGACACACTGTTATCATCACTGTCAGAGTTTCTCTCTGTAGCCTTTTTGCCCGTTCAACAACCTGCATTCTGTATTTTCACTGTGTTCAGCTTAGAGTCGGAGGATCAATTTCTTCTACAATTTTACTGATCTCTAAATTGAGTTTGTGTGTCTGTTTCAGGAAACAACGGAGCCCGCATCCGAGCGGACGCTGGCTTCTCCTTCCTTGTTCTTCTTGCACTGCTCATCGCTCCCTTTGTATGAAGAAACACATGGCTGATTATTGTAATTGATGAATACATATCCGAGCATGTAGCTTCACATATAGCAAGTGAAGCTACATGCTAAATTTTATTGCTAACCACGAATATTTTAATGTGCAATACAAATCCAGCAGATGTAAATAATGAAATTCTCGATTAGTTGATCCCTCTAGAGCAAGGATGTATGCTCATAATATATCTGCTTTATTTTGTTTTTTTTGCTGGTAGGTCAGTTTTTTGAATTGTTAAAATGAATGGTGAGATGCAGAAAAACAAATGAAGGTGACAGTTTCTGCTGTATTTGTGTCGCTGTAGTATCCATTTTTTTTTTAAATTGCGCCTTTCTTTAGGAAGGCTTATCTTGCCTTGAGCTGCATTGAGATTAATAATAAATGCTGATTGTAAATCGTTGCACAATCATCAAAGTTCATCACTTGCTTGGTCACAGTTTATGTGACCAAGCGTTTGAAGGGAATAAGTTGTCACAGTCGTATCATGTCATCTGTGCAGGGCAACATTCAACAAATATAGTTACAAAAACCATCAATGAATATAGAACATAAGCCCGTTTCTCCAATCTAACTAACTGTAAAACTCTTAAGGCAGCAAATAAGTCATATAACAATGTTAGTGGCAGCTGCCAGGTTCAGTAACACCTCAGCACCAACAGCAAGTTTTTTCATCCACCCAAAAATGTTTTACAGCCTCGCTGGGCTGCTGGCATGGCTGTAGTCCCACTTTAGGAATAACATAATGGAGCGAATGACACTTCACGCCTTCGTACCCACAGAAGAAGAGTCCTCCACAGGAAAGGTAGGTGAGCAAACCAGACAAGTAGTCCACCTTGGAGACAACGGTCTGATGGCACTTTGGACAGGCAACCTGAACTGGACTGTCTCCCAAAGCGCCGACTGTCACGAGCGGAAATGAGGATGGAGAAGACCAAAAGAAGTGACAACATGTTAAGAAGAATCACAATCCCAATACAGGAAATAATGAGGATCAACCAAAGTGCTCTGTTGAAACTGTGCTCCACAAACAGATGGTATAAACTCACCGAATGACACTTGTGCATCTTCCATTGTTGCTGGAAACAATTCATAGCAGAGATTTCAGTAAATACAAGCGACAACAAAACTAGAGACAAACTCATGATACACAAATAAAAACAAGGATCAAATGTGTATCATGATTCAATTAATAAATAGTATAATAAATTATGGTGATCACAAATGTATCTTAAATACATCGTAAATACAAATCAGTATATTTACACATTAACCATTTTCAAATACGGCAGAGTACTCACAGTCTGTGAGGAGGACAGTCTGACTGCAGTGAAGGATTGTGTCCTAAATAGAAAAACCTTTAATTAACATGGTTTCATTAGTGTTATAATTTGTCTCTATATCTTTGGGCACCAAAGTCTTTGTCTAAGATGGTGAAAAATATATTTAACTTTAACTTACGAGATATAACTAAAATATTCTTTTAAATAAATGTGATTTATTTGAGCTCTTAATAGCATTTTTTAAAGGTCTGAAGGGGAACCTATCTTTAACATCTGCCAAGGAAATAATTACTGCTGTTGACTTTTGTGCCGTCTCGGTTCAAGGCAGCTAACTGCATAAAGATCACCGTTTTTAGAAATATAGCTGACGTACTAAAGAGGTGTGTGAAGTATTGTGTTTTTAAAAGCTGCAGCAAAGATGTGAAAATATAAACTCTGTGGCGGAGACTTTGCAGTGCACGAATAAGCCTCCATTCAGACTGAAATTAACAGCACATGACTGCTCCAAATTAAATTGGGCATTTAGCTCTTTGCTGAACATAGTGAGGGTACGGTGTTCTTCCTCCTCAGCAGAAAGCCCACTGGTTCCCTGAGGAAAACATACATCTTTTAAAATAGGCCACAAATAAAGGCAAGAAATAGAGGTGATTTATCCATACTTTCCTCTTTGTCTCTGCAATGTTCACTCTATAGTGCTTCTTTGCTGCTATGTATTCAGCGAGACACAATTGTCAAAAAGAAACCGAGCAGGACTTTAACATCGACGATGTAATCAGAGGACATATTTGTATCAATTGCACTGATTTTGTATTTTCTATTTAAGTGAAACAAATGTTGGCCCCAATTCACAATACCTAGACATCACCGCACAATAAGTTGAAAGATTTTTAATCAGTAAAAACAGGTGCAATATTTCACATGTAAACAATTGCAGCATCTCATTTTCAATACCTGAATAGTTACAAAGAAATAATATTTCAGTGACTCAAGGATTCCTGTAAAAATAGATCAGTTCAACAAAAGAACAATATCCCTTTAAAAAAAAAAAAAAAAAAAAAAAGTTGCTGCTAATTAGAGTGCTCTAAGGCTCACCTCCAGGTCGGTGAGCAGGTGCCACATCTTCAGTATTAAATAAGTCTCAGCTCCATTAGTAGCCCTCTCTCCCTGCAGCCAGATTCTACATCACTAACTTGTAGTCATACCGCTGCACATCAATTAACAAGCCAAGCACTGATGGGAAACATCCTCGTCTCTCAGCTTGTAGCAGCACAATAGTGGCTTTTATAGTTACTTCAGTGGCAGAGAACCAGGCCAGTATTTCTAATACTCCCTGCACTCCCTCCACGTTTACATTTTATCCTGATAGATTTCAGTATAATGTACTTTTCCGCAGTACTTATTCCATCAGTACAGCCAGAGTCAGGCGCTCCACTTTGCTTCTTTTCCCCCCCCAAACGATAATAAATGGAAATTTATCCCATTTTCAAAATGTTGCTCATATGGTCATCGACAGCCCAAAAAATCAATACGTGTACTATCTCTTGTGAATAAACTGATCTGTAATTACCACGTGACTTCCTGAGAGCCCATTTGTCGGTTTGAGACGCGCAACCTCATGTGACCGAACGATGATTTGTGAGAAAGTCTGAAAAACGCATTTCAAAAATATATTAGGGCCGAGTGGCATCTTTTAACCTTTAAATGAATGACTTATTGACGTTACTACCGCATTGCATTGTGGGATATTTATGCCGTTGTACAGTTTCTGCTAAGTGTTATATTTCATTGGAAATCGTATGCAGTTCATGTACTATTGGTTTCATACTAAGGTTTCGGACATAATAAAAATAAAATAAAAAAAGCTTAATGTTTTAGTGTACTAAATAGCGTGTTAGTGTGGAAATTTGGACGCAACGGTTCCCTTTCAGAACCGAGAACACTGCAGTAGAATAAAGCTCTTTTGGGTATAAAAAAGAAAACATGCATTGTGTGCATCAAAATCATCTCTATGGAGCAGCTCCAGACTTTATACTTGATAACATCATCTCTGGTTTCTGGCCTTGAGAGAGAGAGAAGCTCATGTTCACAAATGTTGATTGAACTAATAATCCCTGAATATAACATATTGGAATTCTTAATTTCGGTGGTGTTCTCCTTTAAGCTACCATGAATCAAACTGCCTCTGTCATGATTCCTTTCACAGGTAGTAGGCTTTTAATGTGGAAACATCAGGAAGTGTTGACCAGCAGTAAGGCAAAGAAGGAACAAGTGAAATCATTTAAGATTAAAAAAACAAAAAAAAACAAAAAAAACTATGATGAAAACATTTCTCTTTAAAAAAAATAAAAAAAGAGAAACTGTAGAAGAGTGGCGAGTACATCACCAGTCTGTTGATATAATTAGCGATGTGGAAATTATACTGGATTTACCATGCGAGGTGTTGTAAGCTACAAGTCATTTAAACCCCCTCAAGGTTTTGCTCTTTTTTGAGACTAATTATTTGAATGTCCCCTTTTGTGTGCAAGTTAACGGCTACTCAGGGAATGTAGAGAACTGGGCTGCAGGGTCTGTGTCGAACGTTTAACTCGACAGAAATTACATTCTTGAAAGCACAGTTGGCACTGAATTCCCATACTAGTGTATTCCTGCTAGTGGATGAGCCCACAATCATGAAAGCACCTCAGAGTATTCTGTCTCTAACAAACACTGCCGTTTCCCCCTCGCTACCCATCCACATTTTTTAAAGTGTTTCATTGCTTCTGCCCTGACTTAGCAGCAGTCTTAGATTTTCTTTGGACAGATCACAGCTGTCATTTCATCCTTATTCCTCATTCGCTCTTTTCCATGAAAATGTCCACAAATTATCAGGTCATATTGCTCCTTGTGTTTTACATGACGTCCTCATTCAGGCTTTGTTTTGCTCTCCACATCGCAGGTCTAAACATTTTTCTCATCCATTCCAGTCCATCTTTCCTACCTCCCCCTCTTCTCAGGTCTCCCTGCAGACTTGTGGTCAGGAGGCCATATGGCTTCTTTTCTGTTCTGCCTCTTTTCTCTCCACCTCCACCTGCTCTTTAACATCAGTCCTGTCCTTCAGCACCGTCAGCAGGACCCTGAGCAGCGTGCTCTCATTCAGCAGGCTTTCAGAGGTGTCCGCCAGCTCCTCCAGCCGCCTCACCGCCTCCTCGAGCTGCCGGCTTTTCTCCCGGTGCTGCTCCTCTAAGCTCTGCCTTTCTCTCTGCAGCTCCGTGTTCTGGGCCTCTAAGCTGAGAGCATCAAACGTTAGTCGGCGGTCGTCGCGCCACAGCTGCGCCAGCTGTTGGGAGAGGCGTTCGAGGGCGTGACGCAGCGCCTGAACCTCTCGCTGGAGTGCCAGAAACTCTGTGCGGAGGACGGTACCGGGATCGCTAGAACCCGGCGCTGGTTTGCCTGCATATTGTACAGGGCCAGAGTGCTGCAGGATGAAGCGGAGCAGGTTGGGTAACGTGATGGGCAGGTCGTCAGGAAACTTCACACTTGAGTGTTTTCTAGAAGAGAGAAGAAAGAGTGAAAACTGACATTCATAAAAAATTGTGGTGACATTTTGTTTTTGTGTGACAAAATCTTTTGGGGATAATAAAGTTAAGTATAAAGGTAAGGTGTCCAGGCATTACTGGAAAATACCATCTCCAAATGTTTGTGTGCGTTTCTTACCTGTATTTGGGAAATAGAAGAATAGAGGGAACGTGATCCACCATGAACTCCCATGGGAGGTCATTACGTGCAACATTTACCCTGTAGCAAGAAAATGTAGTTATATTATTTAATTTTTCTTTAAAACGGTTGGACCAGAAAACTAATGTTGACCCGTTCAACTGAAGTTAAAACTACCAAAAAAAAAAATCATATTAAAAACACACAGTACTGCAACAATACCTGCATCAAGTCAAACATGAAACTGTACCTGGCCACAGTGATGGTGCCGTTTCCCTGTAATAATCTGGCCAGCTGGATGATGACGTGGTTGAGGACAGAGCAAAATCCACACCACTGAGTGTAGTAGAACAGCAGCACATCCTACAGGAGACAACACACACACACACACACACACACACTTGTATTTTCCTCCACGGCTCAAGTCCGTGATCTCGATACTGAATCCTTCACACAAATAGATGTAGAGTGGACACGTTGGGTCTCTTCTCACCTTTTGGAGGTCCATGACGGCGGGCAGGAAGGAGGAAGTGGTCAGTTCTGTGATGAGGAGGCGTGGAGGCGAGTGCTGCCTGGTCTCTTCCTCCCCTCCTCTCCCGTCTTCTTCTCCCACCAGGTGTCTCTGTAAGAGGCTGTACGGAGCACTGAAGTTCCTGATGAAGGCCTCTTTAATAACATACAGACACACACGCAGAGTGAAAACAGAGAATTAGTACGATGGATCGAGAGACGCATGCAAAATGGTTACATGAAATTGCAGATAACCATGACACCTTGATTCATGGTGCTGACTATTCCCTTTGAAAACATCTGCACAGACTCAGTATGCAAAAGACCATGAAACTAAGACATGAGCTGATCTGCTGATATGCATAATATGCAAAACTGCGGTTTGCCTCAGACTTCTTTGTCTGACGATGCGTTGAATTTGCACTTTGTACACAGAATCGTTAAATATAAACAGACGCGGTAACCACACACTAATCTCACTCCTTAACTTTTCATTCGGCTCTCACAGAAATGAGCAGGTATTTGTGAGCAGGCTCTCTGCATGAAATGAGTTTCTAAACTATGGCTGCAGCCAACCTGATGGGGTTTAGTACACACAGTCCAGACAGGCCCTTAAACTACACATCTAAATCTGGAGTTTAGCAAAACTGATTGAAAAGCCTATTATACTGCACGATAGACATTTTTCAATAGAAATACGAGTCTATGATGAGTGTAAACTCTTCTATGCTATAAAACCACAGAAGAATGGATTTTAAATGCATCACTTTTGTATTATAAGCTATTGGATGGTAGATTTTTGGCTATTAATCTCACATTTTTAGTGTAGATGGTGACATGACTTGTCTAAAACTGTGGTGAGTGAAGCATTTTGCCAGATTTCATTGACTCAAAAGGAGTATCGGGGTCATTGTGCTTGAAAGAAAACCCTATCGCTCTCTTACGACCTTCGAAATGTGGCCATTTGGATTTAGACGTGGTCTGGAGATACATTTCAAGCACAGCCTCGGCCTTAAGACCTACAACCCAAATAAAACCACGTGATATGAACGGAACCACTGCCCCAGTCTTACCCAGAGACTCTGTCAGCGTGGCTGCCGGGCTGCGGTGGAGAACATAATTAACCTCGTCCTTCAGGTTCACGATAGTTGCAAACAACCCGTCGCCTCGTGCACCAGCGTCCTGGTGAAGAGAAGCACTTCGGTTGCCGGTCGCCCCGAGCCTCACCGCCAGAGGCCAGTTCAGAGCAACATCCAGCACATAAAACCTGAGCGTCCTGTTGGTCTGACACCGCAGCCCCGTGATGCCGTCTGCTCCCTGCTGAGGGGCGGAGGACGGAGGGATGGAGGAAGGAGGTGGTGTAAGGGGAGCTCTCTGCAAGTCTGGCTCCTCTTTGGCTTGTGACTCATTGAGTTGAGGTTCTACTTTTCTGCAGCAGGCACTGTATTGACCAAACGGGCTGTAGCCGTTCAGAACGTTGCTACAGCCCGCTGAGGTTGCGGTTTTCATGGACACAGCAGGTAGTCGGTGTAGGCAGCAGTGTCTGAGATAAGACTGCAACGCGAGGTCTCCTCCCTGAGCCGAGGAGGAGAAAGAGCAGCGCACAGAGGAGCTGGTCGGGCTCGACCGTGACAAACTGAGGCACACCTCACACACACTTGTACTGGACTCCGGGAGAAGAAGTGACTGGCAGCACAGCGAATGGGAGGGGAAACTTTTGTCCAAGCTGGAGTGGTTATTGTGGTGACAGGAATGGTAGCGCACAGCAATGTCTGCAACCTGAAACAGAAAGGCACAGACAATATATAAAAGAAACAAAAGGAAATAGAAAAGATAAGGAAGAAAAAGACAAATAGGATTTAGCAATGAGTAAAATGAAATAAAAAGATAGAAATCAGCAAAAATACAACAACACAAATCACAGTACAATAAAATGTAAGTGCAGCTACAGAGCAGTGTAAGAAATGAAGAAATTGTTCCAAATTTAACTCGATAATAGTCAAAGTGGCAAAAATAAACGCTTTTAGCTCCATTTTAAAAGAGCCGAGAGCTCAAGTAGATCTCTGGGAATGTGTTCTAGATATGTACCCTCTGTGGGGTTTTTTCCATCCCCGCTCACCTGCTGTAGTATGGGACTCGGTCTGGACATGAGTGGATTGTGCGGCAGGAACAGCAGCAGTGCAGGTCCTTTAGTGAGCTCACGTTCCAGGAGACGGGACTTTGTTCCTGGAGGCTGCAGCCACTGGACGACGGTCTCGAGGTGTTCAAGCACCCAGCTACAGATGGCCTCTGATGTGAAGTTGCGTTCATGTCGAGGGAAGATCTAACAAAAGGGAAAGGCACACAGCAAGATGCCGGTGCAACACCTTAGTAAACATCCAAGATTACAGTAACATGTATCCAGCGTTTAATAAGATCTTCTACATCAGTGCTGCTCACCAAAGAGGAGTTAAATCTTCTGTAGAGATAAACCGCTTCATCTTCTTTTAGTGAGATGGCCTCTGCCACCTGTTTGCTGGTCACAACCCCAAAACGTATAACACCACGGAAATCTGCACCAGAAAAAACAGAGACACTCAGAGCTGGAGACATCGACATTAACCACACCATCATAGCACAGTTCTTATTTTTAAATCAACCGATATCACTGTTAAAATGACTCAAGTTTCCCAAACCTGGTCATTTCTAATCTAATCTTACATACTTGAATTGAAAACGTCAAAACAACTGGCTGTATGATGACTTTATACCCCTTTTTAAGGCCTGCAGTGCAGAAGACAGATATGTGATGTACCCCGGCGGCTGAGGAGAGGAATTAAACTGGAAGAAACCCACCACTCGAGGCTGGAAACACACAAGAAAAAAATCAATTAGAATACATCACTTGTGTAAAGACGCAGATTATTCAACAACACTTAAGCTTTCAGGTCGTTCCTTAAAGATAGCCAACATTGGCATAAATGTGACTTTTTCGACCAGCACACACAGTTAGGTCAGTGAGTAAGTCGCTCTCCATCAGATGGCCTGAAGCAAACAATACCTCGTGACAGGAGAGGAACTCTTCCAGTGTGGCTATTGATGGGAGGTACGTGAGTGGTGTGATGACTCTGAGGATAAAACTTTCTACATACGGAGCCACAACTGGACCTTTGTATTCTATCGGCCCAAACCTGCAGCAAAGAAACACAAAGAAAAACAACATAATGGATCAATTAGGGAATCTCGTACCAACTGCTAAACTGTACAAGTGGAGTTATCCTTAAAAATAAAGAATACAACATTTACATTCAGGAGAAAAAGCCTTTAATTAAGTGATGCCATTGTTCAGGGCGTCGTCTTCGACCACGTCAACTGATCGTGAGACTCATCAGGAAACAAAGTTCAGGGGGAAACCGTGGAAACATTATCAACTGGACGACAACAAACCTCAGCCACTAATGAAGTGACCGATGTTCTAGTACAACACTGAACGCACCACGAGATAAAACAAGACAGCAAGTGATGCCGGCAGGGTAGCTAAGTCAACACGCTCTGGTCTTCTTGGTCATAAAAAGTAAAACATTTAAATTGGAATTGAATATGCTGCATCGTACTTTGTAACCATATTAAACGTGCTCTCTGAAATACTATATACAATAATAATACAAGCATTTACTGCTTCTTAAGTGGGAGTATTTGCTGCTTTTCTATCTTTTGTATCATAGTAAACGTAATATATTTGGGTTTTGAACAGTTTGAAGATGTTATAGATAAAATGATTAATCAATTAATCAAGAATAATCAGAGCGTGCACCAGGTAGAGTGGGCCCCCCCCCGCCCCCCCCCCCCCTCTGCTGCCTTTCCCCCCCCCCCCCCCTCTCTCTCTCTGATAATAAAAGGCAAAAGAGTCCCAAAAAAAAAAAAAGAACAAAATTGGAAAGACCACTAAAGACCATCTTGCTCTGGGAACACACCAGCTGTGTGCGTCTTTAAGTCTATAAATAAAGTAAGCTACAGTAGACCAGCCCAGCCACTGTCTTCTCTAAGATACTGAATACACCACACACACACGTTAAATCACAAAAATAGATTAAAGCCGTCAAAGCCAGCAAAACAATACAAAGCAAGCTGACTGTATAGCTGTAAAAAGTAAAAAATGTCCCTGGCCAGACACGAACTAACGAGATGTTGTGATTCACGGTCTGCACCCAAAAACCAAACCAGGGCGCCTCGATTATGGCAAATTTTAAAGGAAGTAAATAACTTACGTTACAACAGTTTGAGGCCAACTAGAGTCAAACCACAGCGATCCTACTATCAATGTAAAAGTCACAGTCGTTCTGTTCCGTTCCTCACGCACCCATTATTCCCCATCTATTCAGTTAAACACAAATAACTACTAAAGAATGAGCGTCTCACCTTCTATAAAACAGATGGATGATTGGGTACTGATAGAAGCGGTTCTGCTTCCTGCATTTCCCATGATTCCACCAGCAGTTAACAGCCACAAACTGCACCTGTGTGTGTGTGTGTGTGTGTGTGTGTGTGTATGAGAGAGAGAGAGAGAAAGAAAGAGAGTTTAACAAGCAGACCAGAGTGTGTTATCACTCAGACATACGTCCGATCAGGCTTTATTCCGTCCCATTTACAAATATATAAGCCCCCAAAAATTTGCTCCTGAAGAATTAAATCCCAACAGCCAGACACACAGTTAATAGTTAATTACCTTTTTGTGATTTTAAGGGTTGATTTGATTTTATAATTCCAACAGATTTCTATAAACTTCACACTAACTCTAGTATCCATTTGCGGCTGTTGTCAGTTTATTTAGATTATTAATGTAACCTCTACAAAATACTACTTTTTCTTAGCACTTGAGAGTCGTGGAAGCTTCTGATGTTTACTGACAAGCATGTTACTGTAACAACAAGCCTTGGTTTTCTGCTACCATGGTGGTCATCAGACAGGGCGGCTGGCTGCTACTTGGTATTTCACACTCCTGCAGAGCGAGTGTCGTGTTCAGTACCTGTTTGGCCAGATTCTTAGCCACCTGCTGCACTTCCTGCCGGGCAGCCATCGAGTGAGCACACCACGGTGCATAGAAGAAGATGAGTGACACCTCCGCCACGCTCCTGAGACGCTCCACCTGGAGTGTAGATGTTAACGTTATGGACTTAACCACTGTGCTGGATACTCTAAGACAATGCTAAAACATATGGGCAAGTGAGACGAGGACAGGAGAAATGTAATCGATGCAAGGCAGAGTTAAAGCTGTATGTACTCTGTAGCCTCGTCCCATTGCTCCTCTGTTATAGCCATCCTCAAACTCATTTAGCATGCACATTTTACATGACGTAATGAGGGAAATTCCGGTATCATCTGACTCGTGTTAAAGCGTTTTGCATCAGTTGTCTGAGAATCTCACCTGGTCGAGCTGACCCAAGTAGAGGTCCACTACCGGGGCCTCGGCAGAGAAGAACCGCACCGGAGGCCGAGCTGCTGCCACCACATCTTTAGCACGGCTACAGAACAAAAATAATTCGATGTTAAATGCAGAAATAAACAACGACACCTTAAACGACTAAGCATTTCCAATCTGGGGTTGTCACAGGTGGAGCAAAACTGCCACAGTCACAGACGGAGGAGGTCGGATGTGTCAACATCATTTACCATCACAGCCAATAAGACGGAAGACAAGTCGGTGTCATTTAGTGCTCCAATGATTTGATGATCAATTGATTAGTAGATCTACAGAAAATTAATCACCAACAATTTTTATAAAAATGTTATTAGGTTTAATTTATCTAGCAAAACATGCCAGGAATTCTCTGGTTTGTTGGTTTTTGAATTAAATCTATTCACGTTTTTAAATCAGACAAAAACAAATCACAATAAATAAGACTTTAATATATTCAAGATCAGCTGCGCAACATAATGAAGACCCCAAATTGGTTTATGGAGCTGGAACTAGAGGATGTTTGACATTTTTATCAATAAAGCCGAATGATGGATTATTTGACAAATTGTTCCAGTTCTACAGATTTAGTTGGAAACACTTTTGTCCTTCTACTTCAATAATATCATGAATGCTGTACTTTTACTTGTAACGGAGTATAGTTACAATAATATTGCTGCTTTTAGTCAATTAAAACTTAAATACTTCTTCCACTACAACCGGATAAGAAGCAGGATGCATCGGAGATCATTTGTTAGAAATAGAGTTTCACGTTTCAGTCTCAGCAGCGGAGCTCTCCACGGGGACATAAATCTGGGTTGTTTACTACAGAGTTACGGTACTTACACTGTTGTCTTTGGTGTCATTTACAAACACAGAGGCCAACAACTTACTAAAATTAAGAAACTTAAGGAACGATGCGCCCTCGGGTAGTTCACCGTCTGTTAATTAATCCTCTTCCCCTAAAGTTCACGTCCGTCTCAGATCAGCTGCACAGCATGATTAAGAGCCCAATTAGTTACAAGTAGCTACACTATAATCAACAAGAGCTAATTTACGATCCCCTGATGCTAGAACAACACAAAGTATCCAATATGTTCGGTCATGAATGCCTCATGTGAGTCACAACAACACTTACTATACATATGCTCTGGTTCACACTACCGACTGTTGTTACCTGCATGTGAAATGGACAGCCAGTAAGAGCAGGACGCCGAGCACGATAGTCCCGCAGAGTAGACCCGGTCTACGGGCCATCAGAAACAGCACCTGCCGGAGAGACTGCCGCACCCGGCGCAGCATTACGCGCTGTCGGCTCTCCGTGCCATTTATACGCCCCGGACACTACTCAACGCGTCCATTTGCCTAACGGGGGCGAGGGGGCGGAGAGGAGGACTGGTTCGACAAGTGGGGCACGGAGTCAACCTGGATTGGACATGGGTGCTTGCTGGTGTGCAAGGCAGTCAAAACGATTCAAACACGGTCGAACCAACCTTTCTTCCCCACGTAGACTTCTGACTTCCGCAACAATGACGTAGAGGGAGAGACCGTAAAATGCTGTGGGCCATTTAAAAGCGCACGGTGCGTTTAACGGCGGTAAGCTCGGTCAAAAATAAATGTGTTACTTATGTTAATGGATGTGTGTGTTGTATGTGTTTATACGTTTCAATTTGTCCGCAATAATTGCGTTTGAGGTTATTTTTGCGTATCGAGTCTGTCGTGCTCTTTTTAGACAGTCCCTATGTTGTTATGGTGAGAGAACACTAGAGGGCGGTCGTTTTCAATCAATGAAACTTTATTTATACAGCACCTCTCTCTCCTAACTCTTATGTTTTGGTCATTTAATCAAAAGACTAGCTAATAATGCAGGTCTTTCAAGTTTTATTATTATACAATTGATAGATATGTATGTAGATAGATACTTTATTAATCCCGCAAGGGGAAATTTGTTCGCTACAGCAGCATTATGATACAGGTACGCAATCATCAATTAAAGTATTTAAGAAGTAATTTGTTCAATAATCAACATTTCTTTTTCTGCCGTTCAGATCATCACATCCCCAAACTGTGTTTTACCTCTTCTTATAAACAGAATTATCTTCATTAAATTTAAATTGTCCAGCAATTATATATGTCATGAGAAAAACAAATCAACACAACAGGACAATATTATTTAAAATCTTTATTTTTCCTTTGTCATTATGGAACATTGAAGAACAAAAATCACAGTGTAGAACTTTTAAGTGCAAATGAACAATGTAAAAAATAAAGTCTTTCATTAGCTCTTCTCACCCATCAAATGGAAACGTATACGGTTTCTAAACAATAAAAAAGAAAGAAAGAATGCAACACAATGTTTGTTGGCAGTACCAGCAAATAAAATAAGCTATGAACAGTTTCCCCTTAAAATCATAAAAATTATAAAAACATCTGTATCAGCATCTCAAATTGAAGAACATATGTTGCATTTCAAATCTAAGTGCCACATTATGCTGAAATGAAACGCCTGGAATTCCCGGAATGCGCTCAAGTGTTGAACATTTGCTCGTAAAGACTTTGTTTCCGTTTACGCTTTAATCAGCCGAGGTTCCCATCAGGCTGCAGAACGGCAAACCTCAACATCCGACACATTTCACAATGATGTCACCATACGTCGTACAGTGAATTTTTCAGACAGCTCTGTGGCACAGAGAAAGCCCGAAACCGCACTAAAGGACTCGGAGAACTAATTGAAACTCATGCAGAATAAGGATTTATATACACTGATTACGCTGCTTCATTCAAACCGATACTTTAAGAGCAGCAGCTGTTCATGTAATTGGTTGTGGACAACATGCCATGAAGACACATAGTAAAAATAATATATCTATACTCGTTTTGTTCCACCTTCAGTCTGTGTGGTTAAAAAAAGCTCAGCGGTCACCTCAGTGCCACAAAGCTTTCATGAAACTCAGGCTGTGTCCAGTCTCCAACGACCACGTCACTTATCATTTGCATAACTGCCCTCTAGACCGTTTTTAGGCAATGTGGCTTGTGAATGCACTGCAGTACTTCTAATCAATGACATCACAGATATTTCACCGTTTCTCATCTTGTTGTATTCCGCTTCTCCTTCACCAGCTCAACGCCCGTCTTGTTCCTAACACGGCAACCCTCCAGCAGAGAGACAAGACCGGAAGCGAGAGGATTTCCTTTCCAACAGCAAATAAGCCAGTTTCATGTCACATGTGTAAACCGCTGAAAATAAACACTTCTCTTCAGCAACTGGATTTCTGGCTTTTATCTTTTTTAATTTGCTGTGAACTGTACGGCATTAATTGGGCACTGACTGCATGCAGTCTGCTACAGTGCCTGTGTCTCTGGGTGCATTAGCTGCTGCACCACCAGGTCTATGTTGATGATGGGGCTGAAGTAGAGAGCCCAGTAGAAGAGGCAGTTGCATACAAACTGAGGGACAAAAGGCCACAGGAGGGCGAAGGCAAAGCCCTGAGATAACGTCTTCCACAAGTGGTTCCACATCTTGCGCGGCAGAGACCTAAAGAAAGTGGAAGATACAAGTTAGTGCATGTCGCCTTCTCCAGCACAGGAACTGACCGACCTGTACCTCAACGTGCACAGTAGCTTGAAACAGCTGGTATACAAGGCTCCAGACTAACTTTATTCACCAACGACCCAGAACTGTCCCGGAAAAAACAAAGTAATTGTTAACTCTTTGTTTCTCATTGTCATCTGTGCTAGTTATTTGCATAAAACACCCAATTCAAATTAAGAGCTGGTGTTAGGAAGTTAAAGGTGTCAGAATTCTTAAATCCATCTTGCATTGCTGAGAAAACATCTCCATCTAACAACTGTATTCATTCAAGTTTCTCGCCCAAAAATAACACACATCATGATAACGATATCATTTACCTTTCGCACAATAGTCATTTAGGAGCAGCGGACGATCAATCAGGGCATTAACATATTACATTTCCCAGTAATGTTCAAGTAGTGTAGGAATTTTCAACTATGCAACATTTTGAGAACTAAGGAAGCAAACGCTACAATCACCATATTTATTTTCTCTTGAATAAAAAGAATAGAAGCTTAGAAGTGCCGTCTCTTTACCCTGTAGTCTGTTCATGGTGAGAGGACGCTAGCTTTGTTTGTTTTCTGCTTCGCCTTTGCATCTCGAGCGTGAAAGGCGTTTAAAATATATTTAAAACACAGAGTGTGTGTACCTGATCCTGGCTCTTGTCCAGAGTCTCCACAGGGCGCAGCCCTCCAGCACAGACAGCAGCATGGCGTTAACAATGATGAAGCGAGACGTCCAGTAGTGGACGGCCAGCCAGTCCCACGCAAACTCTGCTATCAGCTGGTACGGAAGCAGCAGGTACTTTACCAGAAACTCTGCCCACTGGCGCCAACTGGGCTCCAACTAACAGACACGGGGACAGCACAGAGAACGAAAGACACACACACAATCATTACAGGCATGGATGTCAGACAGTTAGATCCACCATCACTCCGTCACACAAAGACAATCTGGTGGAGAAAGCATATTTACATGCAAATTAGAACTCAGATGTTACGTTAAGATGATTCTTGCTGTGATATTTTAGTCAGAATGAAGTTATTATCACTTATAACTGCTAGCATGATGCCCATTTCAAATTTGGCCAAATATTCCAATGTTTGTTTATCTTCCAGGGTGTGTTCATGAGGAAAGGTGACCTGGATCCGCCGCCTCTGTTTGCCTACATAATAGAATCCCAATGTTTAAGGCCCCTAGGCCTCAAGACCAACCCGGATTTGGGTAGTGGCTCATTAGGAGCGATGTCTGACACCTGGGTTAGTTAGTGCGAGTGCTCACTAGGGACGTTCCTAATGACGCATTTCACTGACGTTCAATGAACCGAGAGAGAGAGAAGCACCCGCGGTTTGTAAAGAGTCACCTGTGCGTTGAGGAAGCTGCTCTCCATTGACTGGCCGATGTGTGTGATGGCCGGACAGCAGGTGTGCAGGAAGGGCAGGAAGGTTTCCGAGTAGTCGAATAAGTACAAGTAGAAGAGTGTGAGACGAGGGGAGCGCTTCAGTGCGTACAGCAAGAACAGGGACTTCCCTGCATTGATAGCCTGGCAGAAAGCGAGAGGAGGACACACAGTTTGTCAGCTGTATGTGGAAGAGATATGACAAATAATATGACAGACACACTATTTGAAGATTCAGTTGTTAGAATTAAATTATCGAGCATTTCACGCGTTACGTCATTAGTGCATGGTACTGTAGTGGAGGTGGAAGCAAAACATCAACTTCTTATTTACTCATTTAAGGATGAAAAGAAGTAGTAAAAGTGCAAAATAAGGGACGCTGAAAAGGTGAATGCTCAGTGGTTTCTTCGTCGTGGAGCAGAAAGGACTCCTAACCTTGTATTCCCAGAGGTTCTGCGGAGGTTTGGCCCCCAGGGCTTTAACTCGGTCCAGTTCTGCCAGAACGGCCCGTCGGTGAGCCTGATTTTCGATGTTGTAAGGCGGTTTTAACAACTCTTCGTCCCCCAGCATCAACAGCAGTCTGAAGCAAAGAAAACCAACACCACGTTGGACAAACATAAGGATCCACAACATGAGGGCGGTCTGTGCAAAGTATAAACCTCATCGTAGAACAATGCACTACAGTTAACAGCTCTTTTGAGCAAACGCACCCACTCACATCCCAATATGAACGGAATCCTAACACACATAGAAAGTCATTCCGTACCTCCCGTTGACGTTCTCCTGCTGGAAGGGTTCTCTGTAAAGCTGGGCCCAGGGCCCCAAGTGTTCCAGCCAGGACACGACTTCCTCCGGCGCCCAGTGAGACACCGGTTTACTGATCAACAGGTCATGGGGCTCCACCACACTGCTGCTCCAGTGAAACACCAGCACCAGCAACTGGAAATGCACAGACATACAGAGGAAGTACAGTGAACACTCGTTTCAGATGCAACGAAAAGGTTTGGGTCACAAAGCTGTTGTTGGTGAGGTGGAGAAGGAAGAAGAGGAGGATGAATGGTGGCTGGAGTCCCTCTTTAGGCCAGACTGGTGCCAACTACTCACACAGTTCACAGCTGTGGTTTTGCCTCCAGTTCATTCCGGTGCTGTGTCGTGCATAGCGGCCACAATAGCTGTCAACTTGTGATATACCTTTGGATGAATAAAGCTAAAAGAAGAATGAAGGTGCACTGTGCTGTTCATTCTCCTACAAGAGGAGAAAACTAAAGCTACTATAAAAGCTATAAAGTGGAAACTTATACATCTTTGTCATTTTTTAGTTTTGGAAATCAAAGGGCAAGAGATAAACCTGAGTCTGTAACGAAGGTGGACCCAGACGTGCAAGGGATTGGTGGGCATACAAAGTCACATTCGTCTACTGTAAAATTGTAATAATGACTAAATTGAAAGCTCAACGTCCACTTGAAATGATAATACTCGGTATTCTTATCCTGGGACTTCTTCTCCAGCATGATTAATTCAAAAATCCATTATCTAATGATACAACTGTACAAATCTCAGTTTCCAGGCAGTATTATTTTCCAGAGCACTGAACGGAAGCCAAGAAAGTCAAAAGTCATAATCCACGAAGCCAAAAATATCCAAAACAAACTGATGCTTTGCACACAGAAAAAAAAGCCAATAATGTTCATTAATGATAATATTTAATGAACTGGGGCCAAACACAGGACCAAGCTCTCTTCTGTTTACATGCTGCCAGCAGCGCACAGACACAAACACACACACACACACACACACACACACACACACACACACACACACACACACAGAGACACAGCCACGTAGCGAGACACACAGTCATGTTGCTCCCAACTGCCACATGGACAAAATAAACATGATCTGTCTACATGATGTGAACACTGACCTCTTCATCCACTTCTGTGATAACTTTGAAATATTTCATACCACTGTTGTTAAAATAAGCTCAAAACACAGCCGGTGAATTATTTTAAACAGAATAAACAGTGTAGGTGGAACATTACCTGAGCAACTTATAAAAGGTCAGATTTACAATGATTTTGTCCGTTTTATGGAGTGAGAACAAGAAGGGGAAAAACTCTTCAGTGAGAAATTATATATTACAAAATAACACTGATTAGTGATGCAACAAAGCCTTGACTGCATACTACTGTATATCTTATGGAGTATGCATCGAGTAAAACATACATTTTTAGGACATTTGAAGAAGAGATGCACCGATCGCAATTTTCTTGGCCAATTTCCAATTATTTAAAAAGTCTGACCAGGCGATTCTGATTTTCTTTCTTTCTAAGAACTGTAATTGACAGCATGTAAGATATTCTTTCATTGAAAATTTAAATTAAATTGTATGTTCATAGTAAAACATTAACTGTTAAATAACTTTTTGAATACATTTTCTCCAAAACTGCACCAAGTTACAGCACCTTCTCTCAATCTCACTCAAACAAATCTCAAAATAAACATACTCCAGGTTACTGGACAAATAAAAGAGTGTGTGTGTGTGTGTGTGTGACTCTACGGTCTGTCGCTGTGGCTGATCAATGGGTACATCGTACTTACAGCCACACAGCAGAGAGCAGTCAGGACTCCAGAGAAGAAGAAGCCGGCTCCTTTCTGCTGGTTTGTCCTGGATCTCCCCAAGTTGTCACCGAACCTAAACACACGTAGAGATTCAATGGAAGGCAGCTCTTTTGCTTCAGGACCAGGTTTTGACAAGGAAGAAGGATGCATGGAATTTAAAAAAAAAGACTGCATCTATTATGTCTCTATGCTTTCTGTAGTAAACAGTCCATCGTGAGTCTGACAACGCTGTAGGAGTGCAGTGCTAAATTGACAGAGTACACTATTGAGTGTATACTAAGCTGACTGCTCCAAAGCTTTACACCATTATACTGTCCTACCTCTGGAAGGCCAGCAAGCTCTGGGAGATTTTGGGGTTCGCCTGGATCTCTGCTCTCCTCCGCTCAACGACCTCACTGAACAGCTTCTCAGTTGCATCCCTTGAGAGGAGAGCATTAAGTTAACCAGTGCAATTAGTAGATGAAAGGGAAATGCTCTGTGGGCTTTTCTTTAGCATCAACCAACCTAGTTCATGCACCACAGCCATGTTGAGAAATATGTATAGTTGGTCTGCTTTGTGTTTGAAACAGTTTAATTACTAGACAAGTGAAAACACCCTAATAAAGTCGTTCCCTTTCCCAGACTGGTGTCCGTTACAGTATACAAATATAATCCCAACTCCTAAACTGTCATATAGTATAACTTTGCCATATTCATATCTATTTCTTATAAACCTCTTCACTTCCCCGATTATTTGGCAGTACAGCATTTGTGTCTGATGGTCACAGCTGGCTTCTTCTTACTTATTAAATTAAAAAAGGAAATTACTTTGAAGACATTCAAATGTCAATACAAACATATGTTTCTGCCTCACTGATTGAAGTAGCTGTGGGCGGTCATTTCTAACACCAACTCCATACATCTGAGTACATTCTTCCATCGTGATGTTTTCTTCCTTCTACTCTCTAAATTCCTGACCAATGAACAAAAGATATGTTTAAGTGTGTGACTTTTGTTCACCGAAGTCGTTCTCTGCTGTACGGGAGAGAAATGTGAACACTGCGGTCGGAAAAGCAAATATTCATTCCCTGATATGGTCTGGCTGTGAAAGGCATACCTCAGCAGTATGTTGATTTTAGGAAAGCCTTCCCACTTCTCCCGGCACTCTGGGCACTCGTTCTTGCGAGAGGACTCCCACCACAGAGCCAGACAGTGGCGGCAGAAGTTATGGCCACAGGTCAAGGTGGTGGGGTTCACCAAGATGTCGTAGCAACAGTGGCATGAGAACTCGTGTTCCGAGATGTCGGTGGTGGTGGAGGGCTTCGACTGAGGAGAGTCAGATAAGCGAGAGGGGGCGTCCATTGATGCTTCCAGACCATCGTCGGATGAATCCCACTCCATGTGGTGCAACATATCCAAGTCTGAGTAAGAGGAGCAACAAGGTCACAAAATAACTACATGGAGAAAGTGTGTGTAGTCTCTAAAAGTGTCTCAGAGACAACTGACTAATTGGTTAATGAGGTAATTGTTTCAGCACTGAAAGCTCTTCACTGCTCTACTACACAAAGATAGTGTAACTTCAAATGAACACAGACTTGTTTCCTGTGATGGATTTCACAACTCCAGCTAGTTCCAAGAGTGTGTATATTATTTCAATGCCATACGGAATATATCTTTGTCATTGGGTTCTGGAAATTAGCAAATTACAGCTTGTGTAATGGCTTGATTTGTTGCATAATAGAGCTTACTTCCTTAGCTCAGTTACACATGTATCTTTTTGCAATTTCAAACATCATCTAGTAGCATTAGAAAGCAATGAAGGAAGTATTGCTAATCCCACTTGAAACAGGTTTGGACAGATTATAACAAAATGGATTGCAACATACCTAAAATTATGCAAGAGTGCAATCATAATTCAATAAATTGCAGCAGTTTGATGCGATATTGAGATCACGGAGCCCTGCTCTTTGGAAACAAACTATTTTAAGAAGCCAACTGCCACAAGACGGCCTGTACTAATGGAGACGTTGATCTATTGAGTTTGGCTGAACAGACAACAGGCTCAATAGGAATCACACAGAGAGTTCAATCCTTGATGTCAACATAGTACAAATATCCCTAAACACATGCAGATATTTATTGGACGAGTTACGAAAAGAAAAGACTCAATGAACGTTTTAGTACAAGTAACGTTACCTTAAAATTGTTCAGATGTAACATTATAGGTAAAGGATGTAAATGTATCTAAGCTACTTAGTTAGATGCCTTAGCTTTATATAACAAACACTGAGTTGGTCAGGACCGTTACTTTAGACACTGATAACTAACATATAGCTACATATATATATATACACACACATATATATACACACACACACATAT